ATATCAATATATAAATTCTACCTTTCTATTGCTTCATATAGCACTGCATTCATGAGAATCCCAAGATCAAGAAAAATATGAAAAGACTAACACATGTTCCTTCACATGTGTAATTGTAAATGTAATTGGCCTTAATCATATGTGGTGGAGTGTCAGTAGTAATTTTACTCCCTTCTTCATTTATTTGTTTATTGTCACACATAAAGGAAAAGTGAAGACAGTGACGAGAGAACCTACAGTTGTATGGAGAAGTCTCCCAGCAAATGTGGTATCTAAAATAGCATGCACATCATCAGTGAGAGTTAACACAACACTTGATGCACAAGTCCCTAGTAATCATTAAACTTATACTGTTTTTCTTTCATTGCGACTTAAATTAGTTTTATTTTTGAAACTGGATAAAAATCTTAACATGGCCATGGGTAACAGCCACTGGGTAACAGCCAATAAACTGCTGAATTCAAGCATTAATGATTTAGAAACAAGATTGGGTTATATAATGCAAACAATTTTGCATTGAAATTACTTGATTGTAATACATTTTGAGTTATCACTGGATCACCTGATTGCTATTCTGTTTGCTCAAGTGAGCTACATGTATTTCCACAATAACATACAGGGAAAAATTAAAAAGGTTTTTAAATCACCTCCTGGTCGATTCACCGATGTCTAATGTCAGTTCGCCAACACTTTATAATTATGTCAGTTCTCCAACATCTAAAATACTTTTAAAAAGGTCTGAAATGCATTTATAAGAGGAAGAAAATGTCATCTTCATTGTAAGATGAATTGTTTGTTTCAGCTGGAAAATGTCTGTTTCACTTTCCACAATCTCTCTCTCCTTGCGCAACGTTTATGAAATTAAATGGTTGATCGTATTTGAAAACCTTATAAATCATCCTACAATCCTTGAGAGAAGTTGGTAAGGTTAGTATGTTAACAGATCTTTGTTTAAATTGTCATTTTGACGCCACTTTGATTCAATTGTACCGCACGCGAGTGTCATTAGCAAAAGAATAGAAGTTCGTCAACTATAACCACCTATACCCGGTAATCTCTACCAGAGATTAAATCTCTGCTCTTTCATTAGTTTTGCACAATGTTAAGTATTCATATATTCAATCTATTGTTCTTACTCATTATTCATTCTTTCCGATATATTTATACCGACGAGACAGCGTGCTTCCAAAGACCGCGAAAAGTGCAAACACTTTGATGTAGGTGAGATA